ATGTTATCCTCTATGCCTCGATCGCGTACGGAGAAACAATGTGTTGTGACAGCAATCTAGTTCTCTTGTCAATAATATGTTTCGTACAGGGTGTTATCCAAACTCGTGACATTGTCTGTCAACTTGAGGGTCCTCTCTGGCATAGTTATTTATATTATTTATTTAATATTTAATTACGTTGTTTAATTATTTATTTAATCACTTAATTAAACAAAAAATTAATATTTAATTTAATTTCTTATTTAGATATTTCATTTCAAGTTCATGTACACCTGATATGTTTTGTGGGCCGTTCAATTATTTTAGGAGTAAATAAATTATTCATCAATTACTATTGGAGTAGATAAATTATTCAAGTTCATGCACACTTATTAATTTTTGATATTATTCATTTAATTTATGATATAACACCCTTTGTCTAAATGTATATAAATTATTATTTTCTATATCTATTAATTCAAATTAATTAAATTTCGTGTTGGTTCATGTATGCGTCTTTTGTCTAAATGTATATAAATTATTCTTTTTTAAATTTCACGTTAGTTCAGTACACACTCTTTATCTAAATGTATATAAATTATTCTTTTTCTATATTCATTAATTCAAATTAATTAAATTCCATGTTCATAAATGTATTTGACAATTATTTATTTACGCGCATGTATAATAATTAACATTCAATTAAGTACACATTGAAAAGCGAAAAGAATATATTATTGAAATAATTAAGTTGTAATAAGGCTAGAATCGTCCAAAAAATGATTCTCCTTCAATGTGATACTTAATATATTATAGATATACAATTATTTCATAAACAAAAAATATATATACAATTATTACAATTATTTCGTCCCCAACACCGGCACCTCTACCAATTATTACTGTCATAAGCAGGATCGGCGTAACAGGTCTGCGTGCTTGTCATCCAACAAATTTAGGGCTAATGCGACACTGATAAAGTTACAGTTTGACATAACTTTGTCGGGAATCTGTCTCATGGTGGCGTCCAAATTGTAATTCATCCTATAAAATTTAAAATGTTTGGAGCTTGTGTGAAAAACAATGGATAAAGCATAATATTTGAAAATTAAATTGTTTATTTACTTATTTAAATTGTTTATTGAATATTTAATTGTTAATTAATTATTTAAATTATTTATTTCCTTATTTAAATTGTTTATTGAGTATTTAATTGTTAATTATTTATTTAAATTGTTCATTTAAATTATTTATTCAATATTTAAATGTGTATTTAAATGATTTATTTTAATTGTTTAGTTGTTTATTTAATATTTATTTTAATTTTGAATTGAATGTTTAATTGTTCTTTTTAAATGTTAATTATTTATTTCAATTGTTTATTTAATATTTAATTACTTATTTTTTCATTTAAATTGTTTATCTAATATTTAATTGTTAATTATTTATTTAAATTGTTGATTTAAATTATTTATTCATTATTTAAATGCGTATTTAAATTATTTATTTTAATTGTTTAGTTGTTTATTTAATATTTATTTTAATTGTTAATTGAATGTTTAATTGTTTGTTTTAAATGTAAAATATTTATTTCAATTGTTTATTTAATATTTAATCTCTTATTTTTATTATTTATATTTATGGTTCATTTAAATTAATTATTTATTACTTAAATGTTAATTATTTATTTCAATTGTTTATTAAAATTGTTTAATTACTTATTTAAATTACTTATGTTTTATTTTTTATACTTATTGTTCATTTAAATTATTTATTTGACATTTAAATGCTAATTATATATTTCAATTTTTTATTTAATATTTAATTACTTATTTAAATTATTTTTTATTTTTTATATTTATTTGTTATTTATGTTAAGTAATTATTTTTATTGCTTAATTAATATTTAATTTACTTCTTTATTGAATTTATTTCAATTAGTTATTTATCATTTAAATTATTTATTTAATATTTAAATGTTAATTATTTATTTCTATTTTTTATTTAATATTTAATTACTTATTTAAACTATTTTTTATTATTTGTATTTATTTGTTATTTATGTTAAGTAATTATTTTTATTGCTTAATTAACATTTAATTTACTTCTTTATTGAATTTATTTCAATTAGTTATTTATCATTTCAATTAGTTTATTATTTCAATTAGTTATTTATTATTTACTTAAATAAAAAATATACATAAATAATTAACATAATTCATGAAATATTTAAATAAGAAAATAAAGTAAAAAATAAATAATTATATATTAAACAAATAATATACATAAACAATTAGAGAAATTACTTAAAAATTTAAATAAACAATTAAATTAAATATTGATTGATTAAATTATTTATTTAATATTTAATTTAAATTTTTATTTAAATATTTCATTAATTATTTTAATTGGTTATATATATTGTTTGTTTAATATTTAATTACTCTATTTAATTGTTTATTTCATATTTATTTACGTCATTTAATTATTTATTTTAATTTCCTATTTATTTTAATTGTTTATTGAATATTCAATTTTTTATTATATTTATTTCATTATTTAAATTATTTATATTTTAAATAAAAAAACAATTAATTATTTTACTTATTAAATAAACAATTTACATAATTCATTTTATTTATAAACCATTAAATTCAATATTTAAAAAAAAAAAAAGAGGCTAGCACGGGCTAATCCAGACGACTGGGCCGTCCGAATTCAGATGGCTGGGCGATCTGGATCCAGACGGCCTAGACCGTCTAGGCAGTCTGGGTCGTTTGGGCAGTCTCGATCCAGACGGCCCAGATGTCTGGGCGGTCTGGGTCGTCTGGATCAGGACGACCCAGCCGTTTGGGTCATCTCGATTCAGATGCTGACGTCGTTGTCGCCTGAATTGCCTGAAAACTCCATTTTTGATGAACTCCGTTCCATTTTTTTCACTTTTCTTAACCAATTCATCCTCAAATTCTATTTTTCCTTCTATTTTAACTATAAAAATTTGTATTAAACTCATAATTTAA